TTCCGTATTGTTCAGTACCTACCAAACGGAAGTCATGTGAATTTACATTAGAAATGACGTGTGTACACGCACCATCTCTATAGGCGAAGTGGAAATACACTTATACAGAGGGGTGGGCAGCAGACAAGAACAGATTGAATTTATTTATTTGTTACGCCGGTAAAGTAGGTAATCGGTTCTATGAGATTCCACTGGCAATCCTGCCATACACAGACCCGTGGGATCCATTTCACTGAGAGGAAATTGTTGTAAACTGAGAATGAACGACATGGGAAAGTTGTCAGCACTGAATAAACAAGTAGGAAGTCTGGAAGTGACATTATAGTTATATATTTAGATATTTCAAACACCCGCAACAGGGTTGGTTGTTGGTTGTACTAAGTATACCGCTCGGTCTCGCGCTCGGTATACGGCAATAAACATATTTTGAAATTACCTTACAATATTTGATGGCATTACTTCCTACCATCATCAACTTTTTTTAAAACGGATCTGGATATTGTTTTTATTATTTCTTATACCGTTGGATAACACGAGAGCTATGACCCATAACGATCACTTACGAATTTCAAACTAATTAATGAGAAAAATTGACAGTCTTTTTTATTCAACCATGTGACTGTTGAAACGGAAAAATCATCTGAAGAATCAAAACTGATGCTACCTCGGATACTACCAACATTTTTCGCTATACCTATAGTTTATTATCAAATTCAACACCTTATTCTGCAACAAATCTATCACATGTATTGATCACTCTTTCAAGAACCTGGTATCTAGTCACCTACTACAGAACGCCTTCTTTTCTACAGAAGAATTTTTACTTCAATGTTAGTTTTATAATTTCTTATTTTTTAAACTGTACTTTTATTTTAATGTGTAGGTATAATACTACGTTTTAATTTGTATATGTAATGTATTTGTTTTAATGCTCTAATGCGAGCTCTAATGTCATATGTATCTATAAATTCTCACAACTCTGTGACTAGCCTGATAGTGTATGCCTGTGTGATATTAATCATATTATTATTGTACCCGTATAATACTTCTTATAGGTGAATAAAGCTATTCTATTCTATTCTATCACTTCAAATAATTATTGGTCACTCACCTCTTACGTGAAAATATCTATGGTTCTGCTTGGTTTATATAACATTAAGCTAGCAGAACCAATTTTTTTCAATAACAGTTTCAACATTGTATTTTGTCGCTGATTGAATATGGAATTTTTCGCTCATCATTTTTTGAAAAATCCGATTGAGCATGTATGGCGTAGAATTAAACTGAAGATGAAAAAATGGGAGATAGAATAATTGGAAATCCAACAAACAAATAGTGTTCACTTGGGTCCCATCGAGGGTCCCATCACATACAGGAATACCTGGGTATGAAAAAGCTGACACCAGTTCACGAGAAGCAATCAGTAATCCAAACCAGCAACCATTACAGTACACTCCTGCTACTGATCTGAAATCTAATATTGAGAAGAAGAGATGGTGCACATTCAGAATGCTAAGTGGCAACCTTCGGAATAAAAACTTCGAGAAATCAAACCAAATATCGGACTATGGAACTACCATTCATTGAAAAGAAGAGAACATGTGATAATGAAAATGTGAAATAATTGATATTGAGGCAAATGAAACCAATGTGTGATATCTGTGAAGTTCTATTAACAGTGAAACATATAATAGTGCAATGTCCCATGTTCCAGATCGATAGAGACATGATCAAAATATCCTTCAACTCAAAAGAAATTCTTGGTGAATCTGAATATTATAAACGAAATGTTATATATCAACTCCACCGCTAATGACCAAAAGGGATTGTTATGTCCCCACTAATATATAACCGAGAGAGAATTAATATTTTCACCACATGGAGAATGCGAATTCTCAATGTATTTTTTATATACAGGGTGTCCCATAAACATACCGACAAACTTTAAGGGATGGTATAGAGGACATCAATATAAACATTTTTGCTCGATAAACATAAGTCCGGAAACTCTTCGTTTTCGAGATACAAAAAATGATTAAAAGCCATTAATAATAATCAATGATTAGTTACAAAAACAGTTATTGGAAGTTTTATTAGTTTTTCAATATTTCAATAAAAACATTGGGAAAATGTAAGGTATAATTTTGAAGCATTTAATTCTTTTTTCATATATAGATGTAAGAGATATGTTTTTTTTTCAAAACGAAGGTAGATACGGAACAATTTCAGGGAACAAAAAAGTTGCATTTTCAGTTGTTCATTCAAAAAAAATTATCATAATTACCAAAAATCTGCTGGGCGATATTTTTTTTGTGCAAAAACTATCCGACATAGCCCGTGGGCACGCCCCTGAAATTATTGGGCAAATTCTAATAGCTCCAGAAGATACCTTATGAATGTATCAATGATCTGTGATAATTTCATTGAATTCAGCTAAATCGTTTTCATGATATTGATAAAAAATCGATTTTTTTCAAAAAAATTCACACCCTGTATCTCGAAAACGAAGAGTTTCCGGACTTATGTTTATCGAGCAGAAATGTTTATTTTGATGTCCTCTACCATCCCTTGAAGTTTGTCGGTATGTTTATGGGACACCCTGTATATCCATTTATTGTGTTCATAAATATATCTGAGAATGTTCCTTTTCAATAGTATTTTTCATATTAAGTTAGGCATATTACTAATTCAGAACTAAATTTTTTGACGTTTGTAGAGAAACAATTTGATTGCAACTCTTGCGCTAACTACTTTGGTCATCGTACCCAGGGGGGATAGGGAGAGAAGGTTTGGATTGTTTTTGAAAATTAGGTATTTATTTCCATATTTTGAAAGGTTTCTTCAAGAAAAGTAAGTCCAGTCCTGCAATTTTTTATCAAATAGAACCTCCGAGAGAGCCTCTTTTCAACTCTCAAAATACACCGATATGCAAGAAACTGAATGAATAACTATTATTAGATTACCCATAATGAATAGAATATCATAATATTAACCCATTAGCGCCTACCGGCACCGTATGGTACCACCAATCAGGTGTCCACTTTTCGACCTCTCGTGGCCATACCGTTATGTTTAGTGGAAATGCACGTGAGCCAGGCGTTGGTTTAGAGACACATGAACACATTGTGCGCTGTTTCGATTTGGTGTGAAGTGTTCCACGCGTTTCACACAAGTTACAATATCATCAGATATCAGTTGTCAAGAAAACATGGACTTTCGATTAGTGTAAATATTGTAATATGAATACGCTTCAGAGTCTGAGCATTTCAAGTAAATTTTATCTTTCCTAGAAGACAATGTTCATTATAATATATTTTGCATGAAACAATTTTTTTTTGTCATATTTGTTTTTGAAGCGTAAACAATGCTGATCCCATATGGTACCGCTAGGCGGTTTACTGTCAAGAATGATTGATATATGATGTGCAATATTTTAGAAGACTGACGTTGCAAGATGCATTGGAAATTGCATATGATGAGTCAGAAGAAATGGGTGACGTCAGAGATATTTTCATAGAACCTCCGGAAAGTCATATTTTGGCTGACGAAAACTCGGCGGACGAGGACACAGGGGGTTTGCTCCTGCAGAAATTGTGTTGAATGATAATTCTAGAATAGGTGGTACAGATGAACCTACAGGAATAGAACATATCAATAACACAGAAAAAATGGAGATTGCGAGAGAAATTGAATCAAAATCAAGGGCGAATGCATAAACACGATAAAACTCATGATGAAGAGAATGATTATACCTTGATGAAAGTCAGAAAACCTGAACATATCAGTTTTTGTCAGTTAGGAGATCTAGAACCTTCAAAACATGTTTGTCCTAAAAGCCAATGGTTACGGTGCTACTGGTACTGTACGAGATAATAGAATACCTGAGGAATGTCCTCTTGTATCTGGAAAAGACCTGATGAAACGGAATAGAGGTGATTTTTCTTCTGCGTTGGAGAAAAATTCAGGAGTTATTTTTGTGCCAGTCCTGTTACATTGGCAAACACATTTTTTTCATTCCACGTCCAGATGTCGTCTGGCAGTACAACAAGAATATGGGAGGAACTGATCTAATGGATGGTAATATTGCTTGGTAATGTATACATATTTGTATTCGTTACTGAAACTGAAAGATATTTTGATTTACCAGTTATCGCTTTATCGGAATTAGATCGAAAAAATGGTATTGCCAATTTTTACATATTTTATCGATGCTGCAGTGCAAAATGCATGGAACCTCCACAGAAAAACTGGTTGAAATATAAGTCAATTGGAGTTCAGAAGGAATATTGTACAGGTCATTCATAGAATGTCAAGATAATTATATAATCAACATTCGATTTGTGTTTCAGACATATTTGACACGATTCAAAAACGAACCAAAAGGCCCAGGTCGAACATCAAAGGCATCTGGCAGCGACTTTCGAGTTGATGAAAACGTTAGGTACGATGGAATGCATCACTATGTGGTTCAGACACAAGAAGCAGAGCGGAGAAGATGTGCAAGATCTCTGTGTAAAAGCAGAATTAGAACAATGTGCCTAAAATGTAACGTTGGATTATGCATAGAGTGTTTCAAAGATTTCCACACTAAATAAAGTTATTTCTCTTGATTTTTTAATTTTCATAGAGTCGAAACAGAATGGTCAGTGTAGCGCCTAGCGGTACCATATGGTACCACCTTTTTTCTCAAAAGCTATCAGGAATTTTTTTGTGAATATGGTATTCTCTGTCCGAATATACATAGTTTGTCAGCTTACAGCCAAAAAAAAATTGAATTCGAAAAAAAAATTAATCCCGGCGCTAATGGGTTAAAATGTTAGTATAATTCGCTATCTTTACTTTCCAAAAGGTCCTAAATTCTTGTGTGAGGTGTTCTTTCGAACAATGTCGATTTTAGGTTTCGAGTGTTGAGCTGTTTTTATTAACTTCATTTGTACATACTATTAAAATTGATTGATCAAAATACAATATTCTCAATCTAGCACCATCATATTCAAAAGTCATACCTGTTTTCTAGCCAACTGAAACCAGGTTTTCAAAATGATCGGCAGTCTCTTGTTATGGTACGTTTTGGTGGTTTTCACGCTGATGAAAACGTCGTCCAGAACGGTCATGGGCGGTTTTATGGTGGCAGTGGCGGACGCAGAAATTTCGCTGGTCACTTCTTGAGGTATTTCATCGATAGGCGACCGGTCTTCGGCCAAATTTCTCTCTCTGTGGTGTGTTTTGGCTGATAACTTTTCGCTTCCGAGTACCTGAAAATATAGCAATGTTGACAAATTTTGAATTTAGCAGTAGATTTGTTTTTTGTAGAAATAATGTTTTATTTTCAATTTTCATGATATTTCAGCGATAAAGTTCCGTTACCCGCAGAGTCAAACATTTTTGGAAGGTCGGGAAACACTGCTGCTTTCGCAAACTTGGTAGTGGAAATTGTGAAATGTGTCATTCGTGTTTTTTATTCTAGAATCCGAACTGTTCACGAGCTGATATTCGCGGTTTTCAAGGTCATCATCTGACGTTGCGATGACGCTAAAACTGTTTTCCCCAGTTTAAACGTCATCGCCACGTCAGATAATGATCTTGAAACCGCGAATAGATGCAAGTGTGGATGAATATAAGTGCAAAAAATTCAAGGGGTCTTGTCAAATTTGATGTGACTATTCCACTCTTGGTCACTAAAATCAATCAGAATCGGCCATTTTCACGGTTTCTTCTGTATTACAGCGATATTTTCTTGTTGCCTAAAGTTTATCGGACTTGCTCTACCAAAACAGAAGCCGATCAAACCACAACCAACCCTCCTCGTTTTTCAGCAATACAATTTTAGACGTTTAAAACGTCAGTTATGTTGGAAGTCAGAATGATGGATGCAGTGTGAGCAACTCTCGCGAGCCGCTCGTTCATTGTCTTAATCATGGAATGCTCGTACGAATACAACTCGTGACACTATTTTACCTGGAAATATTCGTTGATTGACATACTCCAGCTTGCTGCTTTAATTCCGCCCATGACATTATTCAAAAAGCCTTCGGCTCGAACTCTTTGATAAACAATGTCATTCGGCGGAATTATCAGGCAACCAGCTGTCGTAACAATCACCGAATATTTCCGTCGAAATAGTATCACTTGTGGCATTACATATAAAAAATTGCATAGAAACATCCCGCGCCGAGTCCACACAGCACATGACATCCATTAGAGGTCCATTATAGGTCCATTTCAATTCCAAACGACCATCGACATCATATACACATCCAATATACGTACAACTTGGATGATCATTGGACGTTTCAAGTTGTAAGTCCAATGGACGTCCATTTAATGTCCAACCATCCATGGACGTAGAATGTTTCAGAATTAACGTACGTCAAGTGGAGGTCTGAATTCCCATGGACGTTTGATCAACATTATTTTTTAATTTTGTTCATCTCTTGGAGCGCACGAAAGGAAATTCCTATTCGAAGAACGTGCGTACCTAGGAAGGATAGGAAGAGGTGGTACGTATTGGATTTTTTTAAACTTTGGGAGGTTATAAGTTCTTGTTGGGAATTCTTCCATTGGCAGAGAATTTCAAAGCTTAGTCATTCTACAGACGAACGAGTGTTGGTGAAGTGTTGTTCGACATATCCCAAGGTTGACAACGAAAGGATGTGATGACTGGGCTTGTTGAGTTTGTCTGACTGGTATTGCTAGTGATGGAATTATAGCAGAGATTTCTGAGGAACATTTCCCGTGGAAGTATCTAAAAAAAAGTGAGATGTCTTCAACTTTTCTATGGTGTTCTAATGAGGTCAAAGAACTAGTGAGTGTAACATCAGCCACCAGACTGCTGGCTCTTCTCTGGATGGAATCTAAGAGTATCAGCGTATGTTTGGGTGCCGAACCCAATATGCGAGACGAGTATACTGAAACTGGCCGTATTTGTGCTTTGTATACAGGGTGTATCTAAATAACACCGAAAAAGTTCAAGGGGTTTCCTTGTGACATTCTAGCGAATTAAGTTCATATAAACATGTGTCCTAACTTGCTCTGTTTTAGAGATACAGGATGTTCAAGTTTGTTTGTTTTTAGCTCGGTTTTTATTTTTAACCCCCCTGTATAATCATGGTGCCAAAATTCAGTATGGATGGAAACTGAGAAAGCCCCATAATTTCAAAATAATTCTAATTGGGGTAAATGAGTAATCTCAATGGAAGTCTTGAACACCTACATTAAAATTTGTAGTAAAATCGAATTTTTATTGTTTCCTCAAAAACTAAGCTAGATACAGAAATCACACAAAGGATAAAAAAGGTGTTATTTCAAAAGTTCAATCTGATAAAAATATGAAACTCAGAAAAACCGGTGGTGTACAATGACATTTACCATGAATATCGATAAATTGACCTATATACTGTAACGCCAAAAATTGATATTTTATTAAATACTCAAATGACTTTCTGACAAATACTATGAAGTTTCGTGGTTACGTTGATAGTATCATGGAGCTTCTTTTGGTGTTATAAGATTCATAATACTAATTCCAGTGGCGTCGCATTTATGCTGAATATTATTGTACACCTCGTTGTACACTACTCGTTTTTATGAGTTATATATTTTTATTAGATTGAACAATTAGAAATACAACTTCCATGTCGACTGTGTAACACTTTTGAGAAATCAAGAAAAATCGATTTGACTCCGAATTTTAATATATAGTCGCTCTCAAGACACCCTCACCCTTGATTAATCAATAACCTCAATAAGAATATCATTCTGAAATTGTGAGACTCGTCAGTCACCATCACCCAGTTTGAATTTTGCTGCCATAAACTCATATTACACTATATTATATATACTATTACTATTATTATTTGTACCTATAATATTAAATATCTCCTCATAACACGATAGCCATGACATATCTCTCATCAATATGCGTGAAACAATTTAATCCATTCCATTTCACAAGCTGAAATGAATTTGAATTTGTCAAGATGAATATAAAAATTCAAAACATCAGGACAAGACAACCTCGGCGAATCCTCGGTCTACTCTATCAATAGTCGATCAAAAATGTAAGGTAACCCAGGGTAACCCACAAGAGTTCAAAAAAACTAAAACAACTCGAACAACTCGCAATAATTATTACCAATTTCGATAAATTGTCTTTTAACTTGCAGTTGAAATATCAAAACTAATAACCTACCGGAATTACGTTGTTAAAAGTGCTGAAAATTATAATTTTTTCAAACCATCATTGCATTATTGTTCTTTTGTTTTAATTTTAAATTACCTTCTACAATGTACAGCATAAATAAATCAACGCCATATATTGTTAAAACAGTATTATTGATGGACATAGATACTGGGATACTGTCCATTTATGCCTAAAGGATAAGAGATGCACTGAATAGGGTTGATAAATATGATGTGGAAAAGGTAAAAATGGGGGATTGGTCCTTTTTGAGATCTTCTGCATTGTTTTGTGATAACTTTGTCTGAATGAAGATGTGGCTAAAACCCCTGTACTAGCAGGTAAAAACTGGGCTCGTGCTATGGCATAAATGAGATGATCTCTTATTGAATATGGTAAGAATTGGTGTATTTATGTATAATAAACCCATAACAGTAGGTAAACATTTTTACGGCAGTTATATATTATCAAATAGCATTACAAATGTACAGGGCGATTCATAATTAATTGCGAGATAGATATAGAGCGAGTATAGAGTAATGGTAGAATCCTGACATCAAAATAATTATGACGATTGACCAAATATGACCTTGTTGATACTCGGTTGATAGTTAACAATGTTTTGCAAAAAATGCCTGCTAATCAAATAACAATAGATCAATAGATCGCGTTGACATTTTCGCAATCGTTTCAGGCTAAAATGCTGTGAAGTGTCGTCATTTCTTGTAGATTAATTTGGTACTCTAATAAACTATCAACTGAGAAACACGAGGCAAAAGAAACAGACACGGAAGCTCGTCTCGAATCGAGTCTTGAATCATTATTAAATAGATACTTATATACGTAACCTTTCCTAACTATATAGTTACGTACAATATTATTTCCAATTTTAATGGCGAATATAAGTTATACCGATTATGTACAAGATTTACTAGTCAAGTTGACTTCGCCCGTCACTTTGAAGTATCCGTCAAACAAAATTATGGTCATAAATCAGCGACAAAATTCATGAAATATACTCGCTTGATATTTTCATTGGTGGAAATCCAGGTGGAAATGGTTGATTCAAGTTCAGATTTCCCAAGTGATATCGGGGAAGCAGCATATTTTTATTTCGTAACTGGTGTTGAAATGAACATTCATCGTACTAGTTATGTTATATGTAAGTTTAAGCAAATGGTTACGTGAAGAAATACGTTTCAAAACTTCCTTCAGCATTGAAAAGTGTCAAATCACAGTCAAAATTAGAAACCCGAATTGTACAAAAGTGCTAACGATAACAGAAAGCTCAGCAAAGGCCGAAAATTCTATAAAAAAAATCAATGAATAAATAACTGAAAAAATAAGAGAAAATATGGGATGATGAGGAATCGTTCTCATTTATGGGGTTCAGCACCCAATTCTTTGACCCCATTATAACACCTTTAAAAACTCGGCGACCTTGAACTTTTCTATAGACACTTCCACGGGAAATGTTTCTCAGAAATCTCTGCTCTAATTCCATCACTAGCAATACCAGTCAGACGAACTCGACAGGTCCAGTCAGAACATCCCTTCGTCGTTAACCTTGCAAAATATCGAACAACACTCTACCAAAACTCGTTCGTCAATAGAACGGCGAAGCTTTGGAATTCTTCGCCAATGGAAGTATTTCCAAGAACTTATAACTTCCAAAAGTTCAAAACAATTCCAACACCTACCTTCTCTCCCTATCCGCACGATGTTCTACGAGCATTATAGGAATTTCCTTTCGTGTGCTCCAAGAGACGAGATGAAAAAAGTGAACTTCACCGTGACACTGTTATTTTTGGGTGTGCAATCTATTGTCATAGATTTGGAATAGAAGTTTTACCGAAAAAAGAGGGGAGTTGGCTCGAGGACGATACCATCTTCATACGAAGATGACGAAGCAGTGTCATTGGATCAATGCCTGACTCTTTAGATGACGCGGAGACGTGAAGACGAGTGTACAGGTTGTAGCGAAAATTTTCCTCAAATAGGAAAGGCATACAATGTACTTGTACAGCATACATGTTGATTCTACGACAAGTGCTCAAAATTTGCTAACTTTTCTCA